TCTTGTTTTTATTTTTCTTGTACACGAAGGAAGCATAATATAATGCAAAGCTCCCGAAAACAAAAACACTAGACATAGCAGAGAAATGGAACCGTCAAACACGCACAGACACAGAGGATAAGGAAAGAAAGAAAGGGTAGGGAAGAGAACTGACCAGAGTCAACGTTGACAGCACTTACGAGTTGGAGAGAAACTCTTTTACCCAAAAACTCGTGAAGACGATCGAGAAAGGAGGCACTGAAATCGTTAAAGTCCAACACATTCTTCTTCATCAACACCACCGTGCCGTTAACTCGTTGACTGTTCTTGTTCTCTCCGGTGAGAGCGTTAACGATGTTCTTAAACATTTTGAAGTGAACGAGTTAGAATTTACCCCTCAGGTTCAGCAGAGTAACATACAACGCCGTTAAGTGTTTGGGATGGGAAGTGTTGTGAAGAAGCGACCCAATGTTCTGTGCCTTTTATAGACAAAACAGGAAAAAGTTAACCGACATTCTCTGTTGGAACAATCCTACCGTAACACTGTTCAGACAAATTTTACTCTGTTAGCCTTTGAGTTGCCTAATTAAATAAATTGACAGTTCTTTTATATTAATATCTACAAATAAATGGTTTCTTATAATTTTATGCGTAGCATATTTGTTTTGCGCATAAATAATGATCCGCCGTTTATTCATTTAAAATAGGCAAATCACTAATTAATCTAAACGACAATCCTTCTTATGTTGAAAATACAAAACGCACAAATTTTTTTGTCAAAAAAGTGACTTAAGTGTAGTATTAATTATAAAAATTAAGCAAATATTTATTTTAGTTTTTTTAAATTAACAACATCAATATTTTAGTATTTGATTTTATAAAAAATATATTTGAATCTTTAATTTTATTTTAGTCTAAAATAATTTAGTCACTGTAAGCAAAAAAATAAAAATAAAAATTAGTCACATGTAGAAAAGAAACTGAAAACATCAACGAAAAAAAATTTAATTTTTAGTTTTATAATAAAAAAGAAAAATATATAAATTTTTAAAAAGTATTTTACGTATTGATAAATAATATTTTTTAAAATTTATTTTTTAATAAGTTTAATAACGTTATGCATTGTTATAATTTTTAATTTTATAATAATATTTATTTTAATTTTTAATGTAAAATGACAATAAAGTTATAAGATATGAAAATAGTTTATTTTTAAAATATTAAATATTAAAACCTAAATTAATCAACACTTACCATTTGAAAAACAAAAATAAATATTTACTTAATACGAAACTTACTTGCTCAGCAAACGTGAATTTCTTCCATTCCTTATCTTTTTCTGTCCCTTTTTCTACGCGTGGATCACCAAAATTTCTTCGGAGTTAATGTGTGCGCTCGTGGAATCATAGGTGGAAATTTCTACCTTAAACCTTCTTTTGCAATTTCTTAATACTAAGATGATTTGCACATTTCTGATTTACTAAATATTAGCTACTAATATTCCGATGGATATTTTCTATGTTTTTAAATATAAAACTATTTTTCAAGCTTTATACCGCGGGTTTCCTTTGAATTTGCTTATGGAATTGCAATGCTAAATACTTGAACTGTTTTCTTATCAAAGCTAATTGAACAATACTTTATGTACTTTTATAACTATTATCGCAATATAAGCAACTATTTATTTTAAAGTTTTCAACTCTATTTTTTTAAAGTGATTCTTCAGTTTTTTTTCAAATTAATATTAGAAACTAATTCAATTATTGACTGACATCATTATAATATTTGGTAATAAAAGATCCTTTTCTTAAATAGAGAGTTTAAAATTGTATAACATTGCAGATAAAATTCACGCTTTAGGCTTAGATAAGATTTTCTTTTAACAAATTGTAATACTTGTAAGACACTTTTTAAATATATTTTTTAACTAAAATTTAAGAAAAAATATGTGAACTGCTTTTGAATTTAACAAGTTTCATTTATATGTATTTTTAAAATTTTCAACATATTTTTCTCAATATATATTTATAGATTAAAAATATTTTCTTTAACACACAGATTTTTAAAGAGAAAATGAAATATGAGCCCAACAGGAAACCACATAGTTTTGTTCTACATTTGTTTGAAACTATATTGTTTTGGGTTCCTGTGTGTCTATTTCGCGCATTGATGTTGGCACTTTGCGATGTCCCAGGCTTGGCTCTGCTTTACAATATTCTCATATGCTACTTTTTTCGGAACTCTTTAATCTTTTGTTTTTACCCTTTTAATCTTTAGTTTTTGGTACCTCTCTCTAATGCCCGTATTGATGTTGGCACTTTACGATTTCCCAGGCTTGGCTCTTTACAATATTCTCATGTGATGCTTTTTATATTATGTAGTAGTGATCTTCGCACTTTGTAATGTTCCACACTCTTTATCAATGTTCTTTGCCTAGGGGAATTAATACTGGAATTAAATTCTCAAATTTTCTAAACGCTGTACGAATTAGAGTAATGTCCTTTGTGTTTGGAAGGTTACAATTTTAATGGTTCTATTAGTTATAAATTTAGAAATTTTTTTAAGCATTACCTTAGTAATTTTTTATTTTTTTATTCCAAAAACTATTTATTTATTAAAATATAAAAGTATAATAAATATGTTTTCATAAAATATTACTATTGTTAGTTAAAAGAATTGATCCTAAAGATCAAGATAATATTTTCAAATTTTAATTATATACCTAGGTGGGGGTTTAAATTATGCGCTTTACAGTTTGCTTCCTGCTACATTTCCTTTTTGTCTCTGCACATAATGGTTACTTGTTCAAGATATTTTGTTATAAGAACACATTAGCACCAAAAATATTGACCCTAGTAATTTATTAAGGGTTTTCAATTAATTGATTCTTGTCGCTTTCCTACTTATATCAACGCATTAGCACCAAAAAGATAAACCTTCTAATTGTAAAGGACTTTCCATTAATTGGTAATTGTTGCTTCTTGAGCCTCATTAGCACCAAAGAGATTTGTCTTTCTAATTGTAAAGGACTTTTCAATTAATTGATTCTTGTTGCTTTTGAGTCAGTTAATCTAAAAACTCTATTTAGCATTAATTATGGAGCACTTAATTTATATCTACCTGACATATCCCGTATTGAATGTTCATCTTACAAACCGGTTTACTAAACTCTCATTTCTAACGATCGTAGTGCTTGAACCAACCCACCTAAGGATGGCCTCATCCATTTACATGCATTTTTCTATGTTTTTAACATAAATTGTATGTTAAAAACATAGAGCTCCCTTTTCCCTTTGTTTCAATATTCATATTAAACAAGTAAATAAATAATTTACTTAAATATAAGAAAAATATTAACTTCACATTTTAGGATTGAATTAAAGCAAATAATAATAATAATAATAATAATAATAATAATAATTTTTATTAAAATTATTGCATATTTATATCTTTAAATAAATATATTATTTTATTTGAAATTATTATTTTTGAATGTTTAGACTCAACTTTAAAGTTTGAGATTAACAAAATATTATATATAAAATGAAAGGTTGAGAAATATTTTAAAATTTAAGTATATAGAATGGATGCTATGAATGAGAATAGGAGCCCATTTGTTTTCAATTTATGAAGAAATAAATTTTATTTTGAAAAAAAAATCACTTCTAATTTTGTGCATGTTTGTTTAAATATTGAAAAATTATAAAAAGGAAACTACTAATTATTTTGAATAATCTATGAAAAAAGTTAAAATTGTAATTACCTTTTTAAATTTTTATAGGTATGAGTAAACAAAAAGTGATTTTTAACATGAAATGTTTTGAAAAAGTATATATTTATACAGTCTCAAAAGTCAGGCATAACGTTGTTTAACCTACTCTTTGAAAGTATCTATCCACCTAGTTTCAACTCAAGTTTACACCATTTCCCTTGTGGCTCACGTACCACTCAAACTCTCTTGCTTAAGATTTCGTGCTTATTTGATTAAGCATTCCAACTTGTTACCCAAATCCTGATACGTTAAAAATTAGGTTGGACCGATGTAGGACATGATTAGTTTTCTATTACTGTGCATGAAAATATATTCTTAGATTCGGAAATAAATTAAGAAAAATGCTAACATCAACTCAGGGCTGAGTTTAAGTAATTAATAACATTAAAATGTTATTAAAAATATTTATTACACTTTTTTTATACTATAATATATAATAAGTATATATTTTTCTTATAAAAACTTAATACTTTTATGTGTTTAAACTTTTGACTGAAATTAACAAAATTTATAAATCAAAGCTATCAAAATCGATTTGAAAATCTTGCGAGCGTTGATTTAATTTTTGAAAATTTGGTTATGTTGAGCCAACCGAGAAATAAATACCGAGATGCTCCAAATTTATTTTCACTGTTTGAAAACGGAATCACCCTCCATTCCATTTACGGAATTCCGATCAGCAATTTCTCTTTGAAACTAAAGTAAACTCCTCTTAAAAATGCAACTTAAATGGTCCGAATATTTTGAGATGCTCCAAGAATTTTCCTAGCCGATCGAGGAAGATTGAAGCTTTTGAGTTTCACACCGAATTGCAAACTGGACATTCCGTGGTAACCAATAGTACTAGGATGGCATGTGACTGACATGAAACCAATCAAATCATCTTTTTGCTGTTGGAGAATTTGAGTTAACAGTAACACCGATTCAACATTCTCAATTCAAAGGTTCTCGCAACTGACAGCACAATACTTATACAAAAGGCAGAAATTTATAAAGGTGCAAACTATTCCATAAAGACAAAAATGGGAATAGAATATCAAACATTCGTTTCATAGATAGATTCTGATTCCTCACACACTCTTATCTATTAAGTCATTGGATAATCTTAATTAAGCTTCTGAAAAGCTCAAATTATACCCAATCTCTTCCTACGCACTATTACTTCTCATAACATAATACCGGAGGTAAAAAAAAAAAAACATCCAAAGACAAGATAATGCATCATCATCTTATCCATTGTTTTGTTTGACCAACCTATTCTTGGCATAAATTCTGATCCGTAGCGGCAAATATGAGGATGCTAAGAAGTTGCAAAGTTTCTGTATTAAATTTAAGCATAGATGACCAGATAGAAATAAATGCATCAACTTCTTTCATAAATATTTATAACAAATTACAATTAACCCAGATTCTGGACACACTTCACCACATTAGTGGCTGAAATCTATCACACAGCAGTATATGACTTTAGGCTCATCTGCAATGGAGAAGAGCAAATATGATAGTCTATTAACAACAAGCAGTATTTCAGAGGAATCTGAATAGATTTTTTAAGAGGAGACCAATGGAAGCAAAGCACTTTCCAGCCACACAGCCTCAACTATTTATTATCCATTTGCCTGGAAACCAATCTCTTATCATTTGCTATCCATTTTCCTGCCAACCAACCTCTTAATTATTCCATACTGGGGTAGAACCTTCAGAAAGACTAGGAATGCCCTGCTTGCCTATCCCACTGAAGGTCGGCGGAAAATTCGGCAAAAGCAGCTCGTGGATCACCATTTCCAACAGACCAGTAGTATTGAGCAGTTTCATTATCAACCTGCATGCTTCTCTTCAAGGAATCACGCACCTTTTTGTTGCTTTCTTCAGAGGAAATTCTGTTTGATACATAGGTCGTCCTCCTGTCCGGTACATCGTTGGGATACAACACTGCTACTTCTCGTTTAGCATAAACATCCAGCTCAATAAAGCATGTTCTGTCAACAAGGATATCAGAATTACTAATAGGGATTAATAACCTTTCCCTTGAATATATACCGTGGTCACTCATCATGTTGTTCAGCCGTTTTATGTCCATTACCTATCAAAACATATAAACATCATAAAAAAGTCAGTGCAATTAATCAAATTCGTCACCATGCTGTCAACTTGTAAAAAAATATAAACAAGAGAAGAAAAATATTTAGCTTGCAGCAAAAAACTGAAACAGGATTTGGCTCCTTTAAATGAAAGGTCCACTCTATAGAAGAAAATATGGAATTATAATCGTTGATTGAAAAATCAATAGGGTCTTACCAGTATTTGAAATCACAATAAGAGTGCATTAATAACACTTTCTAATTTTGATTCCTTAACCAACATTTGTCAAAAGTATATTTTGTTAACATTATTTATCTTAGATGAATTTTCTAATTAACAGTTATAATTCTGCAATTTTGGTGCACTCTTTAACTTAGAGGAACCAAATTCTTGAAAATACACTATACTCAACTATAACTGATTGCATTTCACTAAATGGAAACTAATTAGGAAAGGCATTTTGAGTTAAATGCATGAGAAATATAAACCCTAAGACGTGGCAGACGGACCTGAATGGAATACTTGACGGCAAGACTAGCAACGCTGTCGCCGCGCATAACGCGATGAGAAATGGCGAATTTGGCGAGTGAATTGTCTCTCCAGAAGCTTCTAGAGAGTGGGTTGCCAACGACGTCCTTCAATTTCCAAGGAGCAAGAAAAGCTGTGGTTACCATGTCCCTTTGGGAGGCCACCGAGTTCCAGAGTCGGCACACGCAACTCGCACGAGCGAGATCGGGAATCGGAAGCTTCTGGAAGATGATTCGAAGAATGTCGGTGGAGGACAGTGCCGGGAAATGAGAATTCATGGGTGAGATTACAACGGTGCAAGAAGAAGAAGAAGAAGAAAAAGAGGAAAGGGTTTCGGGAGACGAAGGGGATGAGAAATTCGAATTCACGAGGTGCGTAAGGATGTCACCATCGTCTTCGTCGCAACAACAGCCCATCGGAGTTGTCACGATTGGATACCGTGTGGCTCTGGTAGAAGGCCACATCTGATTTTATTGTCCTCAGTGATTTAATATAGATATTTTCAATTTTTTTTTTATTTTGTTAAATTATTTTATAACTTTTTAATATTTACAAAATTTATATGTACAGAATATAGAATATAAATATAATTCTTTAAGAATTTTAAATACTTAAAAAATTAAAATATATCATGTTGCTTATGAGGTAAATTGAATAACTTATCAACTAGTTCTTGAGATAATTTTAAAAATTTTAATTTAAAATAATTTACATATTTTTATAATTTTTTCTTTATTTTATATTTTTATCTTAAAAAAAATTTAATTAAGAATATTATACGCTAATTTAAAAAGACGTCTTTCTTTAATATATATATAGCAACAAAATAAGAAAAATTAATTTTAACACGATGTTTAAAAATAAAAATTATATAAATATAAAATTTTCACGTGATCACAAAAGCCTTAAATACTTGTTCGATTAAAGGGGGGAGTTGAATATGAGGCAGAGGTGTTGGATAAAATTTTTTAAAGATTATGAGTTTCAACTATAATACTATCCGGGCAACGCTAATATAGTGACAGATACTTTAAGCAGAAGTGTAATTCAAACTTTCTCTTTAAGAGTTAGTAAGTCTCTTTTGGGAGAGCAATTTCGAAACATAAACTTACATATGGATATATCACATGGAAAGATCAGTTGTGCCAGGATTGTGGTGACCAATGAATTCTTACAAGAGATTAAGAATAAACAGTTGTGGGATCCTAGATTATGTCGAATCATATTTCTCTTGGGCACAGATCGTGCAGTTGGCTTCGATCGAGGTGTTGATGATATTCTGCGATACCAAGATCGAGTTCGTATCCTTAGAGGAGCTGAGTTGAGAAGGAAAATTTTAGAGGAAGGACATCAAGAAAATTTTAGAGGAAGGACATTAGGGCAGCTTAAATCTCCACCCTAGAGTGACGAAAATGTATTAAGGTTTGAAACAGATGTTTTGGTGGTCGGGCATGAGTGGTGAAATAGCCATATTTGTCAAGGCTTGTTTGACTTGTCAAAATGCAAAAGTAGAACGTCATTGTCTGCCTGGAGAATTGCAAACTATGAAGATCCCTGAATAAAAATGGGATAGTGTAACTATGAACTTTGTGTCCCATTTATCGAAGACTGTTAGAAATCATGATGCTGTACAGGTCATAGTTGATTGATTGACTAAGTGTGCTCACTTTTTGCTAGTTAATATGACCTATATCATGGAAAGACTTGCTAAGTTGTACATCGGAGAGATTGTTAAGTTGCATGGACTACCTTCTAGCATCATTTCTGATAGGGACCCTTGCTTCACTTCTCAATTTTGGCAGAGTTTTCAAGAAGCTTTGAGTACCCAGCTAAGACTGAGCTCAGCCTATCACCCTCAAACTGATGGTCAGTCAGAGCAAACAATTCAGACTTTAGAAGATTTACTGCGAGCTTGTGTTATTGATCAAAAGGGTGATTCGGAGGACATGCTTCCTCTTGTGGAATTTACCTATAATAATAGCTATCATTCAAGCATCGGCATGACACCTTTTGAAGCTTTGTATGGAAGAAGATGTCGAACTCTAGTTTGTTGGTTTCAAGATGGAGTTCATTTAATGGTTGGGCCAGAAATGCTTCAGAAAACTATGGAACAAGTTGAGCTTATACCAAAAAAGATTAAAGGCGACTCACAGCCGTCAGACATCTTATGTTGATCTGCGTCAGAGACATTTGGAGTTTGAGGTAGGTGATCACGTATTCTTGAAAGTATCAAGAACTACAAGTGTAGGAAGAGCTTTGAAGGCAAAGAAACTAACACCTAAATTTATAAGGCCGTATCAGATCTTGCATCGCAGAGGACTCGTAGCTTATGAATTGGCACTATTGATAAGTATGTAATTAGGCCCTCTTTTCTAGTCCATTTATTCATATTTGACATTTATTTGAATTAGGTTTTACACTAATTTAGTTGTTAATTGTGCAGTTTGAAGATAAAGAAACCACGAATAGATTTTGGGTACATTTTGAGCCCAAATGAATGGGCTTTAAAGCCTCACAGCAACAAGCACGCCCAGGGGAGCACGGGGGTGCTTCGATAATATGCACGGCCGTGCTAAACCATAAGGCACGGCCGTGCTTGTTTGCATTTGCCACACTTCCCAAGTTTGAAGGAGTTAAAATTCTATAAATAGAGAAGCACCTTTTTTGCAGAGTTGAGATTGACACAAAACCTTTTCTTTGAGATTTTGGATCACTTCCACCCTTCTCGTAGGATCGTTGGCACACACATGGCGAAACTTAGAGCTTCAAGTGACCATACTTGAAGACTGAAGATTCAATTCTTATTCTAGTTTGTTTTACTGCTTCATTATGGATATGTTATTGATTGTTTTAGTTCTTTCTTTCTACATGAGTAGCTAAATCCATAGCTAGAGCTATGGGAATTATCGTTTATGATTTTATGGGATTGTGATATTTGAATCCAAATATGATTTCCATTTTGTGATTAGAATTTGTCTTATCGTTTCTAATTCTTCATCCCAATTAATTACATCGTCAGACGATCGTACCTCGGGTAATTAATAGATCTATAGGATAAAACGAGAGGAAAGATTAGGTAGACCAAACCAATCTTCATCTTCTAATCGTTATTAAATTAACAAATTCATAGGCTCCTTAGACTTTTTCTAAATTAATAACCTGCATGATCATTGGAGATATTAACTTAGGGAAAAGAATATTAATACTGCATGACTATTGAGTATTAATAGTATTAGTATGAATGATTAGTAATCACTAGGAAATCAGATTTAGATCTAAATAGAAGAATATCATAAAGGATTGAATGAGAACACTCATATGCCCTAGGTTCCTCTCCAATAAGTTTAACCAAAACGTGCCTTGTGTTTCTTGGTCGTAGTTTTTACATTTGATTTTATAAATTCTTGGTTTTAAATAAATTAGGAAAACTCTTAGTAATTGATAAACAATTCTTGTGGGACGATATTTTGAGAACTTAGTTGAAAACCCTTTATTACTTCTCGATGGGTACACTTGCTCTCCGAACAACTATCGCCTCAGTTAGCAGGACTGCATAATGTCTTTCATGTGTCTCAGTTATGGAAGTACATTCTAGATCCAACTCGTGTAATTAAACCAGATGCTGTACAAATTTGAGATGACTTTTCGATTGAGCTTCCAGCTGCACGTATCGAAGACACTAAAGTGAAGGAACTTAGAGGTAAGTCAATTCGACTAGTGAAAGTTGTTTGGGATCCAGTAATCAGTGGTGCAACATGGGAGTTGGAGGATCGAATAAGAGAGCAGTACCCTCATCTTTTCTCTCAAGACTGAAATTTTCGAGGACAAAAATTTATTTTCAGGGGAAGAATTGTCAGATTTGTATATTTATGTGTATCTATTATAATATTTGAATAGTGTTGTGTATGATTGAAAGGTATGAATTATTCATATATTGGAATGTGAATGTAAAAGTTGTGTGATTGCTGGATAAGGAGCAGTGTGATTGTCGTGCTATGTTATAATGTTGTTGAGTGTGATGTACAGAGTGGGTTAGAGATTGGTTGTTAAGCGAGTTGTATACGAGATAAGCTAGGGAGTATGACCGAGAACCTATATAGTCTCATCTAAAAGAGAGATTGAGAGTTTTGGGTGCAGTGTGTCTCGCTCAAGCGAGAAGTTGTCATGCAAAATTAGGCATTCTGAAGTGTTATCACTCAAATGAGATCAATCTCGCTCAAGTGAGAGCAGATAGGATCATCCTAGTTGTCCTCTCGCCCAGGTGTCACTTTGTCAACAGTTGCACTAAAAGTAAAATTAACTAGCAAGTGTACTAGTATAATTGTAGCAAGTTATAAAATCTTAGAATCAAGTTTGAGTCTTAGGTATCGTCCTCAAGGAATAGTTTCCTCAAGTATCATTTCACAATTCAACAACTAATTGAGTCTAATGCAATTTAATTGGAGTTTGTGACATTTAGAAGCAAATCAATAAGTACAGAATTCAAAAAATGTAACAGAATTAGAGTTACGAATTTTTGGATTAAAACAGATGTAAGAAACATAGTTAGGGGTTTACTTCACCAAAACTTCAGTATTAACTCAATCAAGTTCTGAACATCCAAGCATTTGAATTGATTGACAATCAGTTTCACAAATTATTAGTCAAAGGTTAATTCCTTAACTCAATGACCCTAACATTCAATTCAACCATCCTAATTCCTTAGATCTGATTCAATTAAATGTGGCATTAAGAGTTAGAAACCATAAGATTGCAAAATTAAGATGACTTATCCCTATTAAATCAATAATCTTGGTAGTTAATTCATATTTGAAAAACAAATTCAACTTCTATTGATAAAAACTTCTCTGTGTTTAGTAAATTGAATTTCTATCCAACAACTATTTTATTAACAGAATTAACTACTCAATCCAATCAAATACTCAAAGTTCAGATCCAAAATCAAATCAAAACTTCCATTTCAAATCCATAAATCCCTAACTATAAAGAGTTTAGACAGTCATTACAAAGTGAAAAGAGAAAGAAAGAGAAGAAGGAGATGAGCAAATAATCATCTTCAATCCAATCTTCAATCTGATTCCTCAAGATGTGAAGCTTAGTGTTCGTCCCTAATCTCTCTTTCAGATGCTCACAAGACAAGAAAATGAAATGAAACTGAAAAATGAACAAAAGATACAAAAATTCTAAGCTAATTTATATTTATAGAATTTTTTTCCTTTCTGGCGTGGTTACTTTTATAAAATAAAGTAATCACGCAAAAGCATTTATGGCAACTTTCATGATTGGAACAATCACTTTTGTTTATAATAGTAGCAACGCAGGGATGGATTGTCTCAAGTAACATGCGCGTGTTCACTTTTATACACAATAGGAGTCACGCGTGATAACCACGTCGCAATGGTATCAAATCTTCCCTCTTTGCCCTCAATTATATCAGAAAATGATTTGTAAACCTT